TGCTCGTGCACTCCACGTGCCCACCCTCCCTCAAGGACATGTGCTTTGTGGGCTTGCTCTGGTTCAGGCAGTGGCGAAGCGTCTCGGCTCGCTTATAGCCCCACCAAGACAATGTTCTAAGAACCTTTTGTGGTTCCCACGAGATGTTCTTAGAACATTTCTGGCTGGGACTGTCTTGTTTGAACACATCGGATTTATGTTCTAAGAACATTGCTTTTGTTCTTAGAACATTTTTGGGTTCCAAGAAAATTTCGTGGTATGGCTACAGGAATACCGGGACGGTCGGCCCCTGTTCAACTGGTTCCTCATGCCCACCCGCTGTTCGTTCCGCAACGGTGCCCCAAAGAGCCTCCAGAGGCGCTCCCCAGGCCAGTGTCCAAGAAAACATGGCGTCTCGCCGCCGGCGCACCGTCGGCGCACCGCCGTCTCGCCCACAGTATAAAACAAACACGGAACACAGTGGGCGACCTAGTGGGCCGTTGTGCTGCTCAGAGGAAACAGGATGAGGGAAAGTCTGATGGTCACACACGCTCCGCTGACAATCTAATCACACTCGTGCTTTCTTCGATGTGGCATGTATAATCTGCTCAAGCTGCCGTAGCTTGTCTACAAGATGGCGATGGATAGAGCACAGTCCTTGTTCACCCTGCCTTGTGAATAGAAAGAGAGACAGAGAGAGGAGAGGAGAGGGCGATACATTCAATAAGGGTACAAGCTGTGGGCACCGCTAGCTTCAGACCACGAGAGGATCCAGGGCGGCCCTACGGAGTGATCGTGTTTTTATTCCTTGTTTTGCCGATCGGCGCGGGCCCTCGCGCCCCCCCCCCCTCCCCCCATGGAGTAGATCTTGGCTGTTTTGGGCGCCCGTTGCGAGCAGTTGGAGCCTCTCCCCCAGAGGCCGCACGGCTGCAAACAGCCGCATGAAGCAGAGGTCCGGAGCCAGACCCCCCCCCCCTCCCCCCCCTTCCGCCCAATGTCGAAACGCCGAAGAAGAACACCTTCACCTGCTGGGACCACCTTGGGGCGCGTTGGAACCCGCGGGGCCCCGGCTCGATCGCGATGGCGGGCCCAGCTGCTGACAGAGAGGGGACCGTCGCCAAGGTTCCGGCGCGCCGACAAGGAGTACAAGTCCCGCTTGGCGGACTACGACGAGATCCACAACAAGCGCGAGGAGGCCCTGCTGGCCATCGAACCATCAGAATCTGCATAGTCTTATGATGCTCCAACCTACTTTGGCTTTGATCACCAGGAAGAGTTTCGAGCGCCCCAAAAATTACCGAAACTCAATGGTTTCCACGTGCCGGGCCCTGGGAGACACTGTTTCGACACTGTTTCGACACTCTTTTGACACTTTTCTGGGTGCTCGAAATTATTTCTGGGATGTCCTTAAGTAGGACGGGAATCACATAACCATAAGAATTTGCATAGTCATGAGCTTCCAGAGGTCCGCGCGGAGATCTTGGGTCAACGCTGAGCCCGCCTGGCGGCGCCTCTTGCGCTGCCCTTTGTCCGCTTCGCGCGCCAGGGAGGGGGATTCAGGGCCGATCCAAGACATCCGCGCGGAGCTCCGAAAGCTTCTGTTTATGCAGTCCCTTCTTCCCCCAAGCCAGCCGCCCTCCTGTTCCCTCCCCTCCTCGTCTGGGCCCATTTCGACCCTGTCGACCCGATTCGGTATCGATTCTGGTCCTCCCGATCCGGCTCGCTGCCGATATCCCGGCGATCCGATGTGGCCTGAGGGTTGCACCACGCAGGAGGAGGAGGAGGAGGAGGACGAGGACGAGGAGGACGACACACCTGGCGCGGCCGATCCGTTTCGATGCCGGCCCCGCGCCCACGCGGTCCGGTCCGACGCACGTCTCGATTCGAGCCGGTGTCCCAGGTCGGTGCCGATGGATCTTGCGCCCCCAAAAGGCGTGGTGACCGCACCGTGCGGTGAGTCGGTGGGGATTCGGGGTCACCGCACGGTTTTTCACCATCCACCAAACCACCCCAACCCAACCCGAAGGCTCAGATTTTCCCTCGATTTCCAGTGGGGGGGGGGGTCGGGAAACATGGAAAAAACACATGTGGAACCCTTACCCCCCCTAACCCGAAATTCGGGTCTTCGGGTTGGGTTGGGGTGGTCTGGTATGTAGTCATTTTGGGACACGGGTCGTTCTTCGAGGACGTCTCGGGCGACGGGGGCCTCTGGGGTCCCAAGGCCGTGCGGTGACGGGCGGTGCGGTGAGGTCTTGGGGGATTTCGAGGTCACCGCACGGTCTGTCACCGCACCGTTTCGGGACTCCAAACGTGCTCCCATTCCCTCAGATCCTCGACCCGTGCCAGCAAGCTTTCCGTAGCTCCCCCCCGAAAATAATCCAAGGATTTTCCGAAAAGCCTAACACTCTCCCTGCTCCTCCGCGTCCTCCTCAGACGTCCGACGCCCTGGAAAGATGACCAGAACCACCGACTTGATCGATCTTCGCTCTCGAGTTCTCGATCCAGACCAATCGATGAGGGC